AGACAGGAAGATGCTCCTGCTGCAGACAGTGTGGTGGGTCGCTTGAGCTGCTCGAGCCCAGACCCCGAGCTCCAGCTCCAAAAATCACAAAAAGGCAGCATGAAGCCCTCATTTCAGTATCAGCAACTGGATTACTCCTTGTTAGCTGAACATTAAAAAAATAATAATAATTTCGATTTGGATGAAATTTGGCATGTGAATTTCACATATCTCCCAAGGACCAGAAATGTATATTGTTTATTTTTATTTTGACTTGTAGTACCTTTTCTACACAGTGGGTGCAAAAAAATGACAATTCAGAGTGTGTTCCTATGAGCTGTAATGTTTTTACTATTAGATACATGGCTCAACTACAGCTTGTTGGAAAGCTCAGAAAGAGCACATTTTCGTGGCTTACATAAATGTGTTTTATTAAAAAAAACTAACTTATTACAAAACCTTCACCATTTTTTCCATCACCGTATCTAGTAAAAATGCAGTTTGCTAGATGAACTTTGGCCTTAAAAACAAAACCTTACCCATGCAAAAAGACTCAGAGCTTTCCAACAAACTATAGCTGAGCCATAGTATAGCTGCAATAATAAAATTTTGTAAAATAGTAAAATTTAAACAGTAAAAATCATAAGTTTAGAGCCCATAATGAGATTGTAATTTTTGCTACCCAAGGTATAAAAAAGGTACTTCAATGATATTTTTTTAAATAAAAATACAGCTCTTTAAAGAAATTGAGACCACTCCACATTTAAGAATCAGCATTGTTTAATCCTGGTTTAATCTCGGTTCTGCTGGCAGAAGGTTGCACTTACAGGCTCAAAATTTCTAAAACTGCAGTGAACAAGGTGAAGTAGAAGAAACTGACCAGAAACCAGCCACGTAAAGGGAGGAAGCGACTTTCCAATGCCATGAGATGACTGTTAACTTATCCGAAAGTTTCTCATGACATCAAGTGACCTTCAAAAGGAATGGGAAACATTAAGTGCAGGTATGAAGTGCACTGGACAGTTCGTAACAGGCTCCTAGAAGCAGAACTGAAGTCCCATAAAGCGGAGAAGCCCTTCATCACTGAGAAGAACCAGGCTGAAGTTTGCAAAAAAAAAATATGAACATTTTACACAGAAGCCTACCCGTAGATTGAGATATTAGTGAAACTGTTGTCTCAATTTTTTTTTTTTTTTACAGAGCTGTATACAGTATGTAATTCACATGCCAAATTTAATAAAAATAAAAAAAGGTGATCCAAAGGCCATCATCTTAATTTAAAAGGAATGATCCACCTATCGGAGGGAAGTAACTCAGTTACACCACATCTGAAGCTGAGGTCTCCTTAAGCTTACTGATAGTCCTTTTACAACAGATGCTGAACCTAAAATTCCTGCCCGGTTGTTGCATCCACACCAAAAATAACAGCGGTGCGGGGGCGATATATCCGGGCTGGAGCTCATTTTTCTGTCCCCAAAAGACTACTGGGCCAGAGTTAGGAGCATGTGATGTCAGGAGGCGGAGTTAGAGTCATCAGAGCATCAAAGTTTATGAAGCAATGCAGAGTGAACTGGAGAAGGCAGGGGTTATCAGATTATCGGCACAAGTTTGAAAGCTTTGAAAGAATCAGGTAAGTTATTGTTGTGTTTACTTGTAATGTGACTATGAACTTTAATTACGATTGGTGTATGTCAGATACCTTCCAAGGATCCATGAAACAAAATAGCATATCGTTAAAAGCTTGGTTGTGTTTTGTGTGTTGGATGTGTGTTGTGACTAGGGCTGGGCTACATATCGTTGTAACAACAACCGAGCTAACTAATAAGTTACCATTAGAATCTGACTTCGGTGTACCAGCCAGCGATAGATAAAGATATCTGCTTTGTTACAGCAATGAAAATATAATACTCATATGCTATCTTGCAGTAATTTAAGTGAAATTTACTTATTGTGTCTTTCATGTACATTTTTTAACACAGATGAAGAGAATTTTTGTCTTCACTTCCGAAACGGTACCCCTCCCATCCTTGGGATCAGCGAGATGTGGTAGACAAATAGCGGGTGGATGACCAGCGAAGGCAAGACCATCATTTAATCAGGCCACGACACTGACCACGCAAGAAGTGTGGGCATCATTATGAGCACGAAGGCGGCAGCATTGCTCGTAGGGTGGAAGCCCATTAACGATCATATCATCACAGCCCGATTCCAAACAAGCCTCACCAAGATCAGGGTTATACAAGCATATGCTCCAATTGAAGACGTAGTGGACAACACCAAGGATGCCTTCTATGACCAACTTCAAGAGACCCTGGGTGAAATCCCCCAGCATGATACTGTCCTGCTATTTTCACCCTCATCCCTCCTTTGAGGAATATGTAAATTATGCAGTTAAGACGTAACAGAAGCGTGCGACGGACTGTCTAATTCACATATAGCTAAAGAAATATCTACACAAAAAATAATATCAACCCATAAATAAATGATTTATTTTTATGAAAGTATTATCATAATATGTTAAGACATGAAAATGTGAATTCGTCTATCGTTATGAAAAGAGCCGCAGCCACGTGGTGCAAGAGCTGCACATGGCTCGCAAGCCGCAGGTTGACGACCTTTGCCCGAGGAGGACTGGGTGGGAATATATTTTTTGAAATAGTTTTATGTTCACTTGCAATAGTTTTGTGATCCCAATATACACTTGCCCACATGCTACAACGTGACAGCATGGATAAACCCAAATAAAACAGCCCTGTAAAATGTGCTTTAAGCATTGAACTATGGGGGACAACGTAACTTTAATATTATGTGTTTTTATATGTATTTATTAATAATTGCACTGTGTCTATTCACTGGCAATGACTAAGCAAGACTTCTGGGCTATTGAACGTGAAGTGTACACATAAAAGGATATTACAGCCGGAAAACTGTATATAAACTGAATTGTCACAGTTGCCGCAGTATCAAAGATAAGGTTTAAACTCGCTTTCTGGAATATTTCAGTATACATCCGCATATTCCCAGATATATCATCAAGCGATAATACCAGGGAGGTACACCTGAAAGTGGTTTTGGGTTTATGACACCACAGTAAAGTTAGCGTTATATTCAGTTTTCTTCCTGTAATATCTTTCAACAAAAGCGAGCAACACCCCTTGGTTTTCCATTTTTCTTTAAGGGCAAATTTTAATTAATATTTCAATGTTTGTGTGTTCACTTCAGGCTCAATAGCCCAGCTGTCTTACAGTCCCAGGTGGTGAATGGACATACTGTCGTTATTAATAAATATGTATAAGAACACACATATAAAAGTTACATGGTGTGAATTATCCCCCTCCTAAAGGCACAGTTGACTGGACATGTCTGTATCATTTGGGTTAATAGTTATTAGTCGATTAATTCTATCTTTTGTACTTTAAAGGGACAGAGTACAGTGATGATTATCAACGCAAATTGTACTGCAAGGTTAAATGGACACAGTACAGTTATTATAATAATAACTTATAATAACTATATTGTATATATATATGCTGCTAATAACCGAACTTTACTGTCCACCTGATGATCTCTTCGCCACTCGAGAGCTAAATATTTTAGTAAATATTTTATTTACTGGACCTGCGGCATGGTCGGCAACACGGTTTACTGATTTCCCTGCTCAGACACACTAACTAAACCTGGAAATTAGCTATTTAAGATGTGTTTCAGCAAGGAAATCTGTCTCTCCAGAACTGGAACTGGGGGACCCTGGGAAATAGGAAAAGTGAAGGCCTCTCTCAGTCACCTCTCGCTGTCCTCCAGCACAAGAAACCATAATCACAGCTCATCTCAAAGATTGATTTCCAGTTTTAAAGACAGATCATATCCACTTCCCAAACTTGCCAAATCCCCCCCAACACACTGTGGGGGAAAATCATGCACACGCACATACACACAGACAGCACACACGCACAAGCAGACAGGCATGCACATGCACACACAGGGGGGGGCGCGCAGGCGCGCGCACACACACACACACACACACACACACACACACACACACACACACACATGCGCACGTGCAGAAGGGCACACACACCACACAGACACGCAGAGAGGGGCGCGCACACACACACACACACACACACACACACACAGACACAGACACAGACACAGACACAGACACAGGTGTGTCCTTTATCAATCTTGCACAGCCTGTACCTGCAGGGAATAAGAATGTCGCAACTGCATATAACAGCACACACACCCGGATCGTAACGACCTGCCACACATTCACAGTCACTGCAATGCTACCCAGAAAACATGCACGTTCAACCCCACGCTGCCCTGTATCCTGACAGTAGATTTCTGTTAATACAGTACATGATGGTAACAATCAAACGATCCATATGTGGAGTGCCAAAATGACCTGCAGTGAGCGGCTTAACACCATGAAATTGGTCATAATGCCACCCTGGCTGGCTGAGGATGTAACCAGGGGGTTCACAGATCACTAAGACCAAAGCAATGACGCATCGGTAAGGAGCGCTGGCACCACCTATAGGAGGGCTGGAGCAGCCATTTCCAGCAAAGTGCTTAGCCGTCACTTACCCTATGAGGACCCACTTGAAAGCACAATAAATCACCCCAGCTAAAGGGCACCATTAAAATATTTAATTCTACAGAATCTACTATAAATTCACAAAGAGCTTTTCTGTAATTAATTTATTACACAATATTGTATAATAATACAATCTTATCGGCAGAACAGATGCTGGCTGAACAATCATCATGGAAAATTCTAGAGCTTCCTTCCTGCCTCTTCCCTCACAAGTCACATGCTGGGGTCAAGACTTGGGACAGACAACTTTAATGTAAATCGCAGACCACCACCCAGGAGGCCAACTTAATGGGAAGGAAGGAGCTAACCAGTCCTAACCCCCTCCCATCCTGAGGGCACCAGACATGCAGCTGTTAGAGCCCCCGTGTCCTCCACACTCCCCCAGGAACGCCCCTGCATCCCTCACACTCCAATAGCCTACCTGCCTCTCGCTCAGAGCTGTGATCTTGGCTTGTAACTCGTGGAGCTGCGTCTTCAGGTCCACGTTCTGAAAGGGAGAGTCGACAGCTTGTTATAGTTCACATGTTACTGGGGACCATAGGAGAGCTGCAGAAGGCCAACATCTTGCAGATCCTCCACCCCACTTCAAATGACAAGGTAACCACCAGGATGGGGCCGCAAGGGGCTTGGCAGATAGAGGACGACCCCAGAAACGCCCACCTGAGCAACAATGGCTGAAACTTCACAGACACACCTCGCAGGAGACATATGACACCAGAAAGGGGGTCATTTAAAACATCATCTTCCAGTCCTGCAGGTTTCCCTCCCTACAATAGCCAGCTGACAACAAGGATTCACAAGGTAAAGATCTGTCTTCCATCCCAGACAGCATCCACTTAACCAAGGCTGTTCATTGGTAGAACATTGGTAGAAGCGTTTTGGTAGAACATTTCCCACTAAAGGTAGCAGATTGTATCCTTTGGTATAACAATGCACCATAATGACAGAACCTCAGCCCCTTTAGTAGAACATCTCACCTTACTTGATGAGGACTGCCCCTCATTGGTAGAACATCGCACCCTATTGTCCCCTCTGGTAGGATATCCCACCATCTGTGTAGAGCACAGTCCTCTGGGAACCCCAAACTGTCCACGTTTTTGCTCCCTTCCAGCTCCCAGCCAATCAAGAACACTGAATACCTGGTACAGGTGCGCTGGGAGCTGAGAGGAAGCAAAAACATGGACTGTAAGGAGGTTCCCTGAGGATTGGTTTGGGAAACACTAGTGTAAAGTATCGCCCGCTTTGGTAGAACATCCTACACTACCGGCAGGGCATGAACAATCTTTGTCCCTTAAGTTTGACATCATGCTTAAAATGATACAAAATTTGCTCCTTAATAACCTCTCCATTATTCTTAAACTTCCCTGGTGAGATACCATCCAGAAGCCCAGGTGGAACACATGTGATAGGGAATGAAGATGCTGAGCAAAGGCCTCATCAACTGGCAGACTGTAGGCTGTTAGTGAGCTTAATAACATCATTAAACCTCTGCCTTGCTCAAAGACTGAGGAAAATGAACTGCAGCAGCCAGAGCCCCAAGAAAGTGGACGGCATGCGTGACCACTGCAAAGCAGGGGATGCCACAGAGTGAACTGCGGCTGATTTCACACTCATACTCTGCAGGAGGAAAAGACATGGAGTCCAGCAATGAGGCAGTATCTAAATCCCCAGGACCAGCATGGCTGAAGTACTCAGAAAGACAGAGACCTGCTCAAATCAGAGAAAAGCTTCACCCAGATATCAGAATAGAAATTAAAGAGATACTACAAAGGTGCTCAGCAGACACATTAAAATGCCAAGTAAAGGAAATTATACATTTTTTTTCTTGCATGTTATATTGTACATACAAGTAACCCAATAACTCAAAGAGTGGTTCTGGTTAAGAAATGATCCCTAACGAAATCTGCCGAACATGTGTGTTGGAGCTTACCTGTGGGTCCTGCTTCATCTGGGCCACAAGTTTCTGTGGGAAAAGAAAAAAATATTTGCTGAATATTCATGGAAACACATGACTATTCTGCCAATACAGACACCAATCCAATATTTTTCCTCTTTATCAACTACTAAGCATTACATGAAACATGTGTATCACTACTTTTCAATCAACACGGCAAACGATCTGCATTTAGTGTGGTAGCGGCATAGTTAGAGTAATGCTAAGAATAGGAAAACATTGTGATTGTTACTCAAACAAAGGCTATGCCACTACGCTACAGAAAGGAATCCATGGCCAACATGTTTTACACAAGTGCTTCTTTGTTTTATGCAGTAACAACTTTCACAAAAATTAACAGAAATATTTCTGTGCAAAAAGTGCAAGCTGTTGCCAAATAATAAAATTAAAAAAAAATCAATCATAAAAATATTACTATATACCTGATATATCCATTTCTAGTCAAAAAGTACACGAGTCTTCAGTACAAAATATACACTGGAGCACAGATAAAACTTGTAAAAAGAAAAAAAGTAGCAAGTATCCAAAATTTAGAAAGAATAAAAGTCTGAAAATATCTACAATAAAGAATACAGTGGTACCTCAGAACTCAAACTTAATCCGTTCAGAACTACGGATCGAATCCTAAACAGTTTGAGTTCTGATCGAATTTTCCCCATAAGAAATAATGGAAAACCAATTAATTGGTTCCCGACCCCAAAAAATTACACCTAAATATGTTGTTTTTAGCATTTAAACATAAAATGAACCGGATAAAATAAGAGCATATACTGTACTAAACACATGTAAGCACATTGTGTGGGATCCCCGTGTGATCAGTCGTTTCTGGTTGTTGTCATTGGTCCTCTGTATTTAGTCCGCATTTCACTTTGTTTCCACAATCCGGACATTGTATTGTCCGTCTGCGTTTCGCCTGCCTTACCTGTAATTAAACCCCGTATTCCCCGATACCCTGACGTCTGCGCCTTTGTCTCCGGTCCGTCCCCGCTTGGCACGACAATATTATTATAATTAAATGGATTAATGGTTTATTATTATTATTAAAATAATGAATAAGAAATCTTTATTTTTAAATCCATTTTATTATATAATGATAATTATTAAATGTATTTTTACTGTCTAAATATATGTATTCAGCTAGTGTAAACATTCACGATGCTATCACAGCGAATATGCGAGGCTGAGACTGAAGCGTTACCCTTTGTTTCCTCAGAGACGTGCCACGTGACTCATTTCCTAGCGTGTACAAGTTCTTAGGTCGGTGTTCATGGTTTGACTTCTGAGATTCAGATCGAGTTCTAGGTAAATTTTTTTCGAACTGGTTGGTTCGACTTAAGAAATTCGAGTTCTAATGAGTTTGAGAACTGAGGCACCACTGTATCTAGAATAAAAAAATATCTAGAATAAAGGTCTGAAAATATCTAGTTTGTATACATTCTGCTGTGTTCCGATTTAAGACAAATCAGTATTAGCCTGACACACACTGCACTCTGCAGATTTGCTTTTTTCACACAGCTGACTTGACAGCTCTGACCCACATGTTGCTGAACACCTAGCCATCATGTAACCCTCACTTCTGCTTACAGTATGACGTGCTAAGGCCACAAGCATTTTTTGTGATTTTTTTCAGGCTAGGACCCATCACTGATTGGTTTCTTACTCCCCCCCAGCCCACCAATATCCAATCCGACATTGAGCTACAGTTTCTCGGATTACATTTGCTTGTCTCTGTTAAGCTGACCTTATTTTCTAACCCTGACTTTGTTGAGCCAGCCTTGTGATAAAGGCCCCTACTAATGTAGTCGGTAAAAATAAACTTACATGTACAAATGGGATAACCAAAGTTAAACTTCACAAAAAAATGTTCTCTGGATTTTTAAAAATGATTGCAACATCTCATACACATAAGCAAAATAAATATTGGCTCTCAGACAGGTATTTAGCAAACAAAAATAAAACCGAACAGCAAGCAAATTTAAATCGAAGAGGTTTTGCAATCCTGTTCAAAACTTGACAAGGATGACCAAGCTGTAAGCCTTGGAAGCCTGGAAATCTCAGTAGTACCACGCAGCTGATGGTTGGGTATATAAGAAGTAAATCTATACCGATATAACGATCCCAGGTTTACTCTAACTAAACCCTGGCAAAGGCTTCAAAAGAAACTTAAGTAAATCAGGCAATATGCCTATTAATTGTAACACTTTCCTATGTGTGTGGGACGGGTAACTGCATAGAAACATTGCTCGGCCATCAGCAAGCTGGGTGATTCTGCTCGAAAGGTCAATGAGATGCGATGAAGAAAAGGAAGATATAACAGAACCAGTGAGGAGGTGGAGAAACAAACTGTTAAGGGCTTGTAACCCACAGGCTGGGACCCTGCCATGTCACCTCTGAATAAGGTGCAGTGGAACCTGAATTTTCAAATGTTCACATCTCGTACACTTCTGCTTTCGACCATATTGTTCGGTAAAAAAATGTCTTGGTTATCAAACACATTTTTGGTTCTCGACCAACCAAACCTTTCATGCAAAAGGATGCTTCTTTTTACACATAAACAAAGGACAGAACGCATATGTATGAGTTAGTCTACCGCTAATGCTCACGTATTTTCCTCTTGCAACCACATCCAGGGAGGCTGGCTATAGTCCTATGGACCTTAAATTTCTTAATATTTACAACTGTAGTGACAGAAATATCAAGCTGCTTGGAGATAGTCTTATAACAGTTGCCTTTAACATGCTTGTCAATAATTTTCTTTCTGAGCTCCTCAGACAACTCTGTCTTTTGCTTTCTCTGGTCCATGTTCAATGTGGTACACACAATGACACAAAACAGCAGAGTGGCTAATTTTCTCCATTTAAATAGGCTGAATGGCTGATTACAAGATTGAAGATATGTGAGAAAAGAGTTAAGAAAAGAAAAGAGTTTGAAAAATCACTAAAACAACCATTTAATTTATAATGTTTTCTAGGTGTACCAACAAATCTGTCCAAGTCATTTTAGAATATCTTTGTAGGATATGCAATATTTCTAATTTCACACTTGGTTTGCTTTACTCCATGACATATCAAATGCATACAGGTATACATGAAACATCTGCTTTCAATTTAATCACTTTTCAGGATGCAAAAAGCACTTTTTTTTCCAAACAGCGATAACAGCACCAACAAATCTGTCCATGTCTGTAGTTTAACATCAAAATGTGTAACTTTTTCTAATCATGCCTGGAAGTTGAAGATAAGAATAATGTTATCTTCTATCTGGACTTCTTTAAAAAGTAGGAGCTCTTTGTATAGTAAACATAAATACTCTATTCTCTCCACACCAGAGTCCTGCACCGGGTCGGGTACCTGCAGATAGTTGCTGAAACGGGCGGATTTTAATGTTCTGGAATTTTACGGGTGGGTAATTCATTACACACGGGCGGGTAGCAGGTCAATCAAAACAGTATTGCAGCCTGCAAAAATAACATAAGCGAAAATATCTATGTATTAGACTATCATGTACAAATTGTAATCATCACAGTGTGTTCAGTATGTCGAGGATACCTTATAGTGCTTTCGATTATTTCTCTCCAAGTCGGCACTCGGATGAAAACGTCACGAAACGTCACGAAAAACATCACTTCCGGTCGGAAACACGTCTCTTTTATGACGTTGATGTCGGACAAGATTTTGTTGTCCGAGTTTCCCCTGTGACGTAATTTCAACATGGTGGCTTTTACACTCAACAGTAATTCTATTTTATAAATCTTTAAAAATGTTTATTTTGTTAAATGTATTAATAGTTATAAATGTAACTGCACGTGTTCGATTTAGAGAATACAATATCATGACCGCAAACTGTATCCTATCATGCAATATCAGATTTTTACCAGACTTGTTAGTGTCTTTTGTTTGTTTGTAGTTTGCCTCTCGAAAAAAGAATATTGCTATGAATGTGCTAAAATATTTTATGAAGCTTTTAATGCGGTTTGACTAGTTCGTGTTTCTTGTTTGTTTGTTTCTCGGAAAAAATAATCTTACTCCAAATCTGCTAAAATATAAAGCAACAACACACAGCAGCGTGTTCATGGAGGCAGCCATGTTTGTTCCGAGATGTGGTAGCTCGAACGGGAGATTGTCGGACGTGATGTCACTCAACTCGGAATTTCAAAGTTCCGAGAGAAAAACAAACGCACCATTAGATAACCGCCTCGACAGACATTCACATACACGTCCGAATCCTTGCTGAAGCGTGTCGTCGTGTTCTCTCTTTCACGCTTGTCACAGCATGGATAGCTTAGATGTATCTGATTTGATTTTGTGTTAAACAGACTTTTTCATTCCAATTCAAAATTCATGTAGGCCTAGCGCTTGTCACGTTGAGAAGTGCATAGAAAAAATAATTGTGTGTAATTTATCACGGGTACGGGCGGGTAACGGGCAGAATGTTAACGGGCTCAGGCGGGTGCGAATTTAACTTTGAAATAATCACGGGTGCACGGACGGGTGCGGTGCTGTACTGTGCGGGTGCGGGTCTCCAAAAGTGGACCCGTGCAGGACTCTGCTCCACACGCATCTTGAAATTAAATGTTAGCAATGCTCAGATAAGAGAAAGAGGAATCAAAAACTAATGACAGGACAAATTACAGAACTATTAAGTATTAAACATTCATTTAAATATTGCTTTTTTTTGTACAGCTCAGTAGTTGGTCTTTTTGACTGGCATAAAAATTAATGTTCTAAGATTCTACTTCTTCGTATTCCATTAAAAGTGTGTAATTAATTTCCCATGGTCATATTTGTAAAAAATTTTCTGTGAAGTAAAAAAAGGTTTGAATTTAGGTTATCATAAGAATGAATCGAATAAACTAACAGAATAATGGGAGAAATGAAAGATTTTTAATGCATAGAAATATCTAATATCTAAATTGCTTTGGGGCTAAAGATTTACATCCTTCCTTTACAGGGGTTTGATTTTTATACTAATCCCAAACACAGGATTCAGAGTTAGACAGAACCAAGCACACCTGCACATAACCCAATGAACGCTTGCGCAGAGCAGCTCAAGTGTAATCTGCTACAAACCCCAGTTTGTGCTGCTGGGAAGCAGCCCTACATCAATCACAGAAGGCTAATTCAAAGGTGCCTCAGATACCTGATGGATCTGTATTTCCACTTTCAGAGCCTCCTGCAATGTTTGTAACTCCATTATGGATTCTTTCTGCCAGCAGTCCAGTCCCCAGGAGCTCTCAGCCTGCTTGGCAAAAATAAAAAAATAAAACATAACTTTTATACAAACTGGTTTATAAGCCTCTGTGTGAACACACCTGCTGTCTGTACCCTTAGTTTCATGATAAAGTTACCGACACCACAGCAGGTCACCTGGAGCACCCAATACCCTGATCAGTCCCTCCAACATTTTGTGATTCTGCAATCGCAGAAATTAACACAAGAACAAGCAAACCTCACAATATTTGCAAGAGCTTCTAATTTTTCAAATTTACTGCAGTTTTCCTGCAATCGGTGGTCAAATCAACAAACCACTTGCATTTGGACCGTGACAAGTCCTGTGACGCCATCACACTGCACATTCATGTGTGTCTTTTGTTAGGCTCCACTGCAGGGAACACGAGCACAGTGAAGCCATGTCATTTACCAAAAAGTTGAGGCATTGTATAGAGCACAGATGAACATAGTCTGTAGACAAACAAACAATGGGTACTTTAGAAATGAAACAATACATTTTTCCATCAGTGTATTTGACTGGTTAGAATCTCTCACAGCCACACTTCTGTGGATGCTAACCAGCCTGTAATAAGAACTGTGGCTCGAGAAAAAAAAAGTGAACTGGAGAGAGTCAGCAAAAGACCAGACGTGCAGCAGAGTGCACAACATAACAGGCAAACTTGTACCATAAACTAGGGCTGGGTGACATCCCATCGATATTATATCGCACATGTGCAATAATCAGGGCTTCAGATGACAAGTGAAACATTTGGCCGGACACCAGCTTTCCAGGGCTATACAGACATTTATTCATTAACAAAATTTGTTAAGCAGATTAGATGTACAGCTAAAATATTAATGAGATGTATTTTGTGACACCCAAAAGTCAGTAATCTGTATAAACTAGCATATCTTTAATTCAGTTAGCGGAGCACACCACATAATACTGTTTTGGTATACTACGGTTTGGTATACTTCAGTGCGATATGCACTGTAGCGGAACACACCACTAGGGCTGGGTGATATTGCCTAAAACGAAAATCTCAGATTTTCCAATTTCCGATTCAGATTTTTTTCTAAATTCGTTGATATACATAAAAAAGACATTATACAAATAAGTTTTGTTTTTATTCTAACAATGTAAGCATGATTTAGGAACGGCAAACATTTATTATTGATTTTACAGTATTTTCCTGGTCTAGTTTACACAGGTTCACAAGTGCAAATAAAAATTCTTGATAAGGATCAATATTGTAGTCTTACTAAGTTACAAAATGCACCGTCAAACATGTATGGCTGCATATGTTTCGGCTGGCCCACAGACCCGAGGTACTTCAGAAAAACAGCACATTCTTGACAGCGGTCTGGTTTGCTATAATTTAATGTAACTCACTTTAAAAAAAATTTTTTAAAAAAAAGCATAAAATATTTTGTGAGCATCGTATATTCAGTGATATTAACCTGAAGCTACAATAAATTGATGTGAATCCCGATTTTCATTCTGCACATTGTCTTAAGCAAAAAATTCAAATTAATTGATAAAATCTATTTCTCACTCAGCTCTACACACCACATAATACTGTTTTGGTATACTACGGTTTGGTATACTTCAGTGCAATGTGCTCTGCCACAGTGCATACCACATAATACTGTTTTGGTATACTGTGGTTTGGTATACTTCAGGCGGTGTAGAAAGGAACAGCTCAGCATCCACAACAAGGTTAAAAGGTAAAAAGATAGCAGTAGGGCGGTACATTTTGCAGTTTGAAGTCCGACACATTTATTAAACATAAGGATATACAGAATTTATACTGATTACTAAGTTTTGAGCGTCATATAATGCCTCATTAATATTTCAGCCATACTACTCATCTGCTTAAACTATGGGCATAAACGTCCATATAGTACCGAAAAACAAGCATCCAGCCAAATTCTTCGCCTGTCATATGAAGCCCTGATGAATATTGCATGCACGATATAATATCGATATATCGCCTAGCCCTACCATAAACATCGTAACAGATCATTAGAGGCCGATTTTATTTGCTGTTAGAGTTAATTTTACCAAGACTTGCACTATATAAACACACATATAAGCAAACACATACATACACGCTCACGTATGTTTACGTATGCATATTCCTGATTTCCTGAACTCGTAATATTTCGTATTTGTGCAAAATTTTCACAAAGCCCACTGAATTCCACAAGTTGAATCACAAATCTGGAGAAAAGCCGTTACGAAAACCAGCTATTTTGGCCCCAACAATCATTAAAAAGAAAAAAAAAAACAGCAAAATCCCTAGGGGCTGCCCATTGCAGAACTAAGCTCTTCTACCAATACTAGTGTCAGAAATCAGAAGCACCCATAAACATTTCCCAAATCTGACAGACACAATTTTCAACATGTTTTTGATAAAATTTACTCCATAAAATTTCAATGAATGCAGCTCATTTCACTACTTCTTATCCACCTTTCAGCTAGTTTCACCAGGACTAGTTTCCATGTAAAGGCCACTGAGAAAAATTTGATTCAATGCTCTCAGATGGCAGGCCTAGCTCCAAAAAAACAGATACCAAACTAACACAGCCCATAACTATGTTTTTTATGGGTTAATGTGGTGAAGTGATCACACTCATGTGACCCTCTAAATTTATCACCATAGTAACATGTCCAAATTATGTGATAAGGACCTGCAATCTAAAATTCAGACTGAACAAACAGAATACATAATGCACATGAATAATGGTGAAGGTCTGCATTAGGGCTGCATGATATCAAATCACGATTATACGGCACATGCGCAATAATCTCCGGGGCTTCAGGTGAAATGTCATAAACATCCAGACAAATGTTTACACCCATCATCTAAAGCCCTGGGCCTGTATTCACAAAGCATCTTAAGGCTAAATGTAGCTCCAAACTTGCCAATTTAGGAGAAACTCCTAAAAAAATAATGGGTGCGTCAGTCCTAAATGTAGGACTCCTAATTTTTTTGACTAAGAGCAATTCACAAAGCCCCTTAGTGCTAAAAGTAGCACCTAAGTCTGGGAGAACTAAAAAGTAGTTGAGAGGACTCCTAAGTCACAAAGACATAAAACTCCCAAACAGTCATAAAATGGCTGCTGTCAATCCATGTTGCAATGTCTTGGAAACATTAAACGAATGCTGAATTGTTTGAAGGATGCCACCTCAGTCGGGAGAGAATGATTGTTGTGGATCCTTTGAGGGATGCAATAACATCTCCAACAAACCGAAACAACCAAATGTTATACAGTGGAAACCGCTTATGGTGATCATGTCTGTCTGGGTGAAAATGATCACCATAAGCGGATGATCATTATAACTGATATTTTTCTTTTCTTTATGTCTCTCAGCCACTTTGTGAATTTGTTTTAAGCAAAAAAAAATAATTCCTAAAAACTTTTAGTGTGATTTAGGAGTACTATTAGTGGTAAGATGGTGCTTTCTCAATACAAGCCCTGGTCATTATTGCACATGTGCCATACAATTGCGATTATATCACGATGTGATATCATTTGTATGTTACTGCTGTATTTGTCCTTATATATACACAAATTGCTAAAAACACGCATGCTGACACTGTAAATAAGCTATGATGCCGACATTTTATGTAGTGCAATACACAAAGAAACAATTCTAAACTTTAAAATAATGCTTCAGAAGTTATAAGAAACAAAGCTCATAAGAGGCTCTCAGTCTCCATCATTAAACAGAGAGGGTCCCCTGAAATTCCTGACAGGTGGGGTTCAGTCTCAGAGGGCCTAAGGCTAGCAACTCTGTGCTCCATCCCACATAGAAATAGAACTATGACTCTCTCAGAGCCGGTCTCACAAGCACTGAAAATTTAATATACAGGTTTACTAAGTCAGTATAAAATTTGACAATATTTCTACTGGAACAAGTAATGGGGGTGTCTATGTCTAGGGGCACATTCTACCTTTTTACCCCACCCTACATCAATTCTTACAGTATAAACCACACAGGCCAGTGAAATCTTTTCAGAGCAATGCCTCCTCATGCCACTGGGGGCAGAAATGAGTCAAGTTTGGGATACGGGGGAAGGTCAGATCCAGATGCAGACCTTGAAAATGAGTACAAACACCTGATATTCCTGAGAAAAAAAAACCATTAAATAATTAATACTTCAGTAAATAGGCAGCAATTAAGGGCTTATTAAACATTCTAATCAAATGTGAGAAATACTGACACTAACACCTCAAAAAAACAGCCTGCCTCTGTTTATATGTACGCACATGTAGAAGTATACAGGATCACACTCAGAGACGAGCTTGACACCATTTATTTATGGAACATCACCTCTTCCTTACCTGCACACTATACCCAGCTTTGAACACCATCCAATTCGCTTCTGAGAGCACAGCTGCAACCAGAAAAAAAAATTATAAAAATAAAGCTGACAGTTAGGTCAGGGATGCTCATTTCTCCATGCTGCAGCACAGGGTCTGGTCCGAGACCCCCACTCCCCCCCCTCATTCGAGGACACAATAGCTCAGAGCAGGAACTAGCTTGATGGTGAAACACACAGCAAGCCGCTTCACCTCGTTAGAGAAGTTCAATACGTACAGCCAGGGCTTAAATCTGGTGATTCAGGTCTAACAGAAGTAAAATTTAAAAAATGAGTTGCTCCAGGGTTTCCGCGGACTTGATTATAAAGGACGAGGCTTCAGCCTGGTTTGTAATTATTTGATTTACACAAGACTACTGATCACCAAATTCTAAGAAACAGGCAGGAGCAAGCCGATGCAAAAGCAGCCACCGGCGCCCCCAATCCGCAGCCAAGGACAAGCGCCGGCAGGACGATATGAGGGTTAGGGGACTCACCACGTGGCTGGGAGACTGGTCCAATGCTCTCCAGCGCTCTGCAAGACAGGAAAGGTGGAAGTCATTATATGGGGACAGAGCTGGCCTCCAGCCTGATTGGCGGGAGGGGGGGGGGGTACAAAGATTGATTAAACTGAGTGACAGATGTAGAAGGGCACCGCTGGAAAGTTAGGCTACATATCCCCCACCTCACCGCCACAGCATTTACCCACAGCAAACCCACTGCACATTTGACTTCCTGAGGTTTCCTGCCAAAGACAAGGCATGAATATTCAACAACGACCGCTGCCATTTTACAGATGAAAATGAAAAAAAAAAAAAATTAGAGGGGTAAAAATGCTGCTTTCATAAGGTAAGGACATTATTCTTTCTGAAAACTGGCGGCATTTTCCTGTAGCTTCCGGTCATGCACAGATCTCAAGGCCCAAGTCCCACAGGGACACATAAACATCCCAAGACAACAGCCAAGTGTGCAGCAGCAGAGATCCATGCAGTATCTGACATGCGCCTCACACATCATGCCAATGCATTGTGTTTTCTATATATAAACCTAGAGTATATTCATTTCAATTCAATACCAGCAGAGTTGCTATGCAACAGGACTCTCATTCATTTTGACTTTGGCTAGGTTTAGCGGACCGGGTTCCTCGGCAGTGACATAATACTGGCAGTAAACACACTGAACCATATGAAAACATTTGAGGCAAATTCAACACCACGGCAATGTCTCCAACATCACTGTCTGCTGCTAACAGAGAGCATCACACCTGCCATTCCACTGTGCCAGCAATTTTAGCCATGTGTTAAATGACAGTGCCCCCGCCCCCTTCGACTGAACGGCAATGTTCCGCTTCCCAGAAAATGGCTGATGTCAAACTCCTTTGATTTCTTTTTTTCTTTACTGGGGAGGGGGGTGGGTGGGTGTTGGGTTCTCCTTATGTGCATTTCAACTGAATATCTGACAGAAACCACCACCAAGACGAGAACTGACCAGCACATGCAACCACACCCAAACTTCAAAAACGATCAGCTGATGTAGGGGTTTTATGAACTAAGGGAAACTAATGATATTAGGCCAAAGCAGAGCTGTTTCAAACGTACAGCTGTTTCTATATTAGCAATATGCCATAACCTGTAATTTGCTTTACAGACAGGTTTTCTAAAAAGCACATCTACCAAGGCTACAGCAGCAGTTCATTTTGCAGAAACGGAGGCTGTAACTAGCCAGCCGTAAAATCTGCTTAGTTTTCACTATGCCTGCATCCCTCAAATCCCCAGAAGATGGGAGAGCACACATGCAAGCACAAAGAGACCAAAAACGGCATGGAATGAGTAAGCAATGCAGTTTAAAGGCCCAGGCTTTTTGGCAGCAGGGGCACTCCAATTAAGATTACAAGGAGACACAGGGGTACTCATAGTAAAAAGTCAGCCACTGGCACGCTTACACATGTCCACACATCACTGGAGCTTGGAGGTGGCCCAGAGTACCAAACCACACACTGATCCCTCATCAGCCTAATGCCTGAACAAATCTAACGGAGCTTCGCTTTCACTGTACGTCTACATTTACACAATGTTTATAAACTTATTTTCACACCACATTCAGACACTTCATCATAAACTAGTGAAAAGTTATCCTAAACAAACACACAATAAGGAAAAGGACATTCATTTTAAATAATAAAACTGAAGGATAAACAAAATCAGTCCAGTAATCCCAAAATTTGTAACCTGCGCGACGCTTTATATACTTGTCAGTAACAGGTATGCAGAATACAGGAGTACGCGCAAGATCTACTTTTGGCGAGTAAGATGCTGCACTATAGCTCCATCAAGCGACCCCAGACGGCTAAAGGGATCCAACCATATTATTCACGTTGTGTTCCGGAAGCTCCTAATTCATAATATAAAGCGCTAAAGCGTTCACCAGACGGGACGTGCGTCGCCCCAGTGGAAAGAAAAATATAAATATGGTCCAGAGTTTCAGTGCACGACGCAGACAGGGGACCGCAGCAGCATCTCCCACCTGAGCAGCTGAAAGAGGCTGAATGCATCCGCCCTTTTCAACTTCCCGATCGGGATGCCAGCGAAGTTGTGCAAGCTTCAAAAAAGCGCCCCCGTCCAGGGAGCAGGGTCCGTTTTGACCACTGAAATCATTCAGCTACAGCGACCGACAACAGATGCAAGACCTGTCAATTCTTCAGCACTGCAGCTACCTGCATAGTGTATCAGTACTGTAAACCGCCGGCAAAACCTTAAACAAATGCATTTTTGCTGCATCCTGATTTCTAACCGATTCGTCGTCTCACGGAAACAGCGCTCCTGCTTTTTAAAATGAGGCAAAACGAAGTGTACGATCTTCTTACGGGCCTAGTCAGCCACACTAGGATCACTAAGCGGGATGGCTGCACCGGCGAAAATAAACAGCGCAGGTTAGAGCGCAGTAATGTGGCAACCTATGGGCAAAAATGGCATTAACATTAAAATCAACAACATAATAGTGTAACACATGCGTCAGCACATAGGTCGGTCAAATGAAGTATTAAAGGCAAAGACTTTATACACAGGGGTGATTAGATTGCCCCAGAAGATCACTGTTAGTTGCGCTCTGACTCCCAGAATAAAGGACACAGCAACTTCGCCGAAGCACAGCATCGCAGCAGCATCCAGGAGAGCCGCTCCCGGCGTCTAAAACGGGCCAAAGAGGAGCCCTGTCCCAAAACTAAGAGCGAAGCCGACGGAGATGGAGCGGGTAAGCAATCGGCTGAAGCGATCCCCCGTCCAGCCCCACAGATATAAACCTTGAATGTCCCGTTACACACACCGGAATCACGCTCTCTTTTGTGCCTATGGACATTTTCGTACCTAAGCGCGGTCCTCATCGTAACAGCAGGAAAGCGAAGCTGGCAGCAAGTTAGGAATGACCCCCCCCCCCTTCCGATACTGCGTTTGCTGCCCCCCAATATCGACGGGATCGCTCAACTCCTGGAATAAGAATAAATGGACAAAAACACTACCCCCGCGGCTCCCCCCGCTGCCTTCGGCTCCGGCTTCAACGCCGCAAAACGCCTAATTCACTCCGGCCAGCCGTGAAAGTTGTGGCCATGCGGAAATTAAACTTGCGGTTTCCGATAATAAAAGATGCCGAGGTGAACTCACCCTCTCTTATACTCACTTGAGCAGCAGTCAAACCTCTTCTCCTCACACACAAATTATTTAAATAAATATTTACAAACACCCCAGTATCTGTCCTCCGGATTTCTTCCAGCATATAAATTTATTACATAACGGTCCAAATTCCCTCCATTAAACGTGTCGGGGTATCCGTTCTGCAGTTTTGGATTTTTACATTTAATTTGTCTAAAAAGAGAGAAACTGAGATACAAAACAAGAACTCTTCTTCAATCTCATTCACCCCCAGCCTCGGCACAGCAGTATCAATGCGCGCAGGAAGAGGGAGAGAGAAGGGGGCAGGAAAACTAAGCAGTAAACGGCTCGAAATGCTTCGGTACACATAGTAGACGGTTTGCCAGCGTCAAAAAAGAGGATGTAAGAAAGGACGTTTTGAATAATGATGTCAGAGGGGCTAAAAGAATGTTATGAGATAGAACTACTTTCTGTGACAGTGCGGCGAATTTATTTCACTTTGCCTAAGGAACAGCGGTATTACGACTCCCATTGCCTAGGGAAAAAACCCGGATGTAAACTCGGTGAAACTCATCTGGAGTGAAGTAACTCGGTGCAACTCGGTGTAGTGCGGAAAAGTACGCGGGTCCGGTTGCCGGCCACCGGGGGCTCTCGGGCGTCGGCGTTTTGGGCAGTCGGTGCAGCACCAATGGACCTCGGTAGTGCAAAACACCCAGGCTGTATTTCAGCTAACTGAAAAATAATTCTATATTTTTATTAATTAATGCATAATATTATACTTGAATGAAAAAATATTAATTGAATAAAAATGATGAATTTCAAGTATTTCAAAATGCATAGATAGATGTGGGGCTTCAGAAGGGCATGGATACCCTGGCTGATTCTGCTTACATAAAATCATACATTAAATTGGGCAGAGGGTCCAATGTGACTTTTTGTGAGGGGTCCTAGAATTTCTAGGTATGCCTCTGGATGTATCAGTCTCCGTTAGTATCAGTATCAGTATCAATATCACTGGGTTAAATCAAATGTGAAAATACAGTGGGATCTGTCACATGTCCTTCAGAAGACAATCCTTTAATAGTCTGCCTAAAAGGCTGTTATAGATTCCGATATGTGAATTGTGTGCACCAGCTGCAGATGCTGATGCTTAATTTGTTTAATATTTTCTCACTAACACATTGATGTAGTACAATATGTATAGTGTCTGAATAAGGATAAATGATACAATAGGGGTCTGGGCAACAGTGTCAAGTGTCAAATGGTGCCTATTCACCCAGGGCTGGATTAAAAGTATTAAGTTCCCCTGGGCAACTGCACCTAAAAGCCCCCCTGACCCTCCATCATGTTTTATGGAAAAATTAGAAATTGCTGGCACATTTTGCAAGGTAATCATATCTTTACACTCCGTTTTTACACACCATTAGGTTGCGGATGTCTGTCCTTCTTGGGTCAAGCTAGCTAACTAACACTGAAACTAGCAGCACAGTAATTTATCCTGCAGGTGACGTAATGTCAAAAAGAAGCAGAGCTGCTTGGTGGCTCACAAAATTCTGAAATGCATTTAAGAGGGAAAATGTGACATACACTATATTGCCAAAAGTATTGGGACACCCCTCCAAATAATTGAATCTGGGTGTTCCAATTGCTTCCATAGCCATAGGTGTATAAAATCAAGCACCTAGGCATGCAGACTGCTTCTACAAACATTTGCAAAAGAATGGGTTGTTCTCAGGAGCTCAGTGAATTCAAGCGTGGTACCATGATAGGATGCCACCTGTGCAATAAGTCCGTTTGTGAAATTTCCTCGCTACTAAATATCCCACGGTCATCTGCTAGTGGTATTATAACAAAGTGGAAGCAATTGGGACCAACCGCTGTTATAGCTGCAATGGGTGGCCAACTTTATATTACAGCCTATGTATTAAGAATGGGATGTCATTAAAGTTTGTGTGTGTGTAAAGACAGGTGTCCCAATACTTTTGGCAATATAGTGTAGGTTTTTCAGTGAATGCCATATTAAAAGAACAATATATAATCATATAATACATATTGGATATAAAGTTCCATTAAGATGTTAAAAGACACTCGTGAATGGGATGGGGAGTGGCAGGCTTATGGGGGGTCTCTCCGCTTGGTGCCCCCCTCGAAACGTGCCCAAATGCCCATATGGTTAATCCGGGCCAGCGCTGACCCCATCCAACGTTTCCTGATGTTTAGTTAAACCTAACGTGCAGCCTCTTATAGGGATTTTATCAATTTTCAAAATATTAATGTGATAAAAGAGCAACTCACTGTTTCGTTTTGTGACACATTGTTAGCACATGGTTACCAAGTCTGTTAAAAATGTAAAATTTACAAATATACAATTGATAAAAAAAGGTACGACGATAAAGCACTAGGAAAAAGGTCCCATACGCAAAATTATGTTTTGTTTGTAATGTCAGGTCTAGACAAAGGTGCCGAACAATATTAAGTTGATAAAGGCAACAGTCCAGGCCATTTTAAAAGGCCGTCTTTGAACATACATCAGGTGAAGGAAATAATTTTAAGTAAAATAAATAGGCATTGTATATGCATATATACCATTAATTTGCTGTATATTTAATACCTGCAGCAAACTAAAAATATGTTTTCATTCTACAAGGTTAATAGGACAGTCACACCATAGTTCTTTGAAACCATGGTAACCTAAGACAAAGAACTTGGTTTTTATGAGTCTGTAAATCACACAGGCTTCAGAAAATCACCTTGGAACATGCCACAGTGGGTGACGCTGTGGAGGCCGTCGAACGCGGGAGGATCGCAAGGAGCTTCGGAAGATGTCACTCCGTGTTTTGTCAGCATTGATTAGGGCAGATTGCTGTCCCAGTGCAAATTGCTTTGTGGAACATTCCCTCAGGATTAACCGAGCAGGTCATGACCTTTCAATTCTGTCGATAAGTTGTGCATAACAAAATGTCTCAATTTTACAAAAGGAATTTTGTTATATGTTATTATTTCAAAAGGGGAAAAAATATGTGTGTGTGTGTGTGTGTATATGTGTGCGTGTGTGTGTGTATACGCGCGCATGCATGTATACACACTGTATACTGTGTGTTTATGTGTGTGTGTGTGTATATATATATATATATATACACACACATACACATATAAAAAAAATGTCACGTCAACATTCTCTGGTCTTTTAGTAAATACCAGATCTTAAGATTAAGTGGTAACGTCCTCTTAGAGGACTGTGGGTTTCACAATACTTAACTTAGTGTATATGTGTGGTGCTTTAACATTTGTGTACAACAGCTAGATATAGTGAATTTCTAATTAATGATAGTGTACTATGCAAGGTTTGTAGGAGGCTTTGCCTTCTGTTTTGGGGCATGAACAATGTAGCATGCTTTGTCTTTTCCTGTGTGCCTGTGATTTCCTAAAACCTTATATTTTTGGGTTTCATATATCCTCCTCACATATTTGGGGAAGATGGTGGCACAGGAGATCGTTCGGCAACTAGAGGGTTGCAGGTTCAAGCCCTATTTCCTCCTGACCCCATCAAAGTGTCCTTGAGCAAGACACTGAACCCCAAATTGCTCCTGGTGTGCAGGTTGATGCCTTGCATGGCAGCCTCTGCCACTGGTGTGTGGATGGGTGAATGTGAGGCATAAATTGTAAAGCGCTTTGAGTACTCATGGGAGTAGAAAAGCGCTATAGAAATGCAGTCCATTTACCATATGCTTCAGAGAATGAACAGCCCTATTCCAGAGGAAAAGATGGCAGGAAAAAAACAATTCTCATTGCATAGTGTAGGTTTGGCCTTAATAATTTGAAATGTTTACATCCCCCCTAAATAATCAGTGGTTAAAAGTTTCAACACTCTCATGAGTTTGTGGTGTATCTGTTAGCGTCCATGGTGATCCCATTTCTACTTAAAGCCATTTCAAAATCTTCCTAATTACTGTAAATGTCCCAAGGACCAGATATTATTGTAAATATGACTAAATTTTTAAGTTTATTAATTCTGTCCTAATGCAGCTATTTGAGCTCAAACAGCATTTGATAATTGTTTACAGCATATTGAGGAAAACATTTTTTATAGATACATGATCAGAAAACATTTTTTTCAACTTAGCTTATTTAAATAAATGAGGTAGCATACTGTATGTGGGAAATCTTTCCCAGTTCATTAAACCAACACCCAAAGAAAGATGTTCCACAACCAAAGACAAAATTAGGTTTTGAAAGAGCTTAGCACATGTGCATTTATTAGATAATTACGCTCTTCAAGGTGCTGTTGTTCACTTGCACTTTGGGATATTTAGGAGAGGTAATGTGTACATTATTGTTTATCACGTCATGTGCAAAAAATGCAACAGCAGCAGAAAATATTAACTTTAATCATTTGCAAGTGATGCTCACCATTGTCTTTTTAATCTTTCATGGCTACTTCTGTGCTCAGTAATACTTAATATTCATGCATATATTATTATGTTGAATACTGAAATGCAGATAAAGACCTTTTGTATGCACATATATAGAAGATACCCTCCTTGGTATCCAGCTCTAAGAGGATGAACATTTGTACAGTACATGTTGAAGTCTGCCAGCTTGTCCTGAGACCACATGTAAAGTTAAAAAATAAAACACTGACCCCTTTATAGTAGGGAAATATTTTGGATTTTTGAGTAGCAGGCTGCTGTAACAAAGCTAATGTGTGAGACTCCAGACCTCCAGAATCATGCAGCTTATGGATCTTAGATGAAGGCACTGTGACCAGTTTAGCTCCAGATAGATCAGTTTGTTGCTTAGCTGGCCTGCTTCCTGTCCCAGCTATCTCCCAGGTGAACCGCCCCCTCTCCTGTAAGGATTTCCATCACCCTAACTGAGACCCCTGGAGCTGCAGTTTTGAACCATAATGGACACTGACCTGAGACGACCTCTCCATGTAGCCATTAGAAACCACAGTGTCAATGGTGCAGAGCACCAATCAGTCCAATTCATCCTGTATATACAATATCAAAATGCACACGAGCAACAACAAAAAGCACCATTACATTTGCTTCTGGTGTTGTACATAGACCATGAGACTAGTGCAAACATTTAATTTCTGAATGAACAGTGGATGCACTGCCATCCCCTAAATTTTTTGTATTTTCATTTGCTTTTCAGTGAGCTCTTGATGGAAAAGCAACAAAGAATGCTTGTCCAAAGTGTGCAATTTTGGTTTGTATTTTCATGCATGCAGGCAAGTAGTATAAAGCAGTGTTTCTCTACCCGGTCGTTGGGGACCCCCCAGACAGTCCACATTTTTGCTCCCTCCCAG